GTAATAGATACTTCAGCCCATGCCAGAAAATTGCCTGTGCAGGTCCACGTCTTCGTATAGCCCCCATATAACGATACCCCCAATATTCGGTATTTTGATGATTTTAGGTACATTATAAACAGATTTTTCTTCAAGTTTCGCATTTAAATATTGTAATAACCTATGACAAAAGTTGCGTATGCAGGTCCACGTCGTCGTATAGGCATTCGGTATTTTTTAGATTTTAACAGAATTTTTAACGGATTTTATTATTTATTTATTTATTTATTTTTTTTTGGAAATTGTCAAATTTGTATCAAATGGTGGAGGGTATTAAAAGTTCGGCCCGGCCGAAATTACAGCTTTTTTACTTGTTGTTATTTCCTAATGGGAAATGTAACAGGAAATTTAACCAATGTGCTAATCACAGTATTGTATCAACCCGGCCACACATACAGTGTTAGCGCAGAGGAAGCGTGCTGGACTCCGGGCCGAAAGGACCGGGGATAAATTCCCGGTTAGAACAAACGATTCTATTTTGTAAAACGGCGGAGCTATTAATTCCGAGCTATGTAGTAGTAACTACCGGTCTATCTAAAGTATAAATTACGTGTGTATTGTCAATTAAATTCGCCGTAATATTGAATATTGGTGGTAGAAATTGAATACCACGAATTTGGCACTCTGCTCAGTTGGAACAAAAAAAGTGAAGAAAAAAACAATCAATTTTTGCTTGTTTTAAACATAACAAAAAGTGCATATAAATTCGTAAATATCAAAGAAATCCGGAAACTTTATGTAAAATTGGTTTCACAATTTGCTTGGAAAACACAACCAAACCTTATTTCAAGGTATTTTCGTAAGCTTGACAAATAAGCAGGATTGAAAAAATGTTAATTAAGGGTTTCCCCAAAATTTTGTCCTGGCTCTACTACCTTAATTACTACAGACGGCAAAACTATGTTTTTACCTTGGAAATCTATCAACAGTTGAAAATCGTGTAAAACCGGCCACTGTGTGAGGCTGCATGCTTTCAGCCAAGCTTTACCACCTCACATAGACAAATCCGAGTTCTTAAGATAACTTATAAACCGAGTGACGGAGTGCTCCGATGATTGTAAGCCAAGGTGGTGGCTGTAAATACACAAATCCTATCTATAGAACACCGTGCCCAAACAAACGCTGGCTTTGTCCGTCGTCTAGGTACCAGTAACGTGGGTTCGAATCGCAACTCCGGCAGTACTACAATTTGTATTTTTAAAATTTGTGAAAACAAGTCAGATAAGTTCTTTTAAAATATGATATACATAATTTCTATAAAATTCTTCTGAACATATACAATAAATTTCAAATAATTAATTATTACTACTTCTAATCCTACAAAGAAAATGAGCATTATCCTTCCTTCACACAACAACACTTACACAGATGTTTTACGAAGCCTCGAGGTCGATCACACCAATGTAATGTGGCTTTCCAAAACTTGAAAAAAAAAAAACACACAAAGCAAGAGAAAAACCCAAACAAATAAGAAATTCGATGTAAGTAAGTAAGTACATTATAATCAATATTTAAAATCTTTGCATATGTGTCCTAAAAAAAGTATGTATCCGAAGGATCAAATATTTCCGAAAACTTATATAAACTTCCGAAAATTTTTATATTGTAATTTAATTTTTTTGTCTCAAAAAGACCTTAAAATTTAGTTTTTTGGTATTTTTGATATCGCAATATATGTATCTTTTTCGAATACATCCACAAAATTAGTTAATATATATATCTATATATATATATATATATATATATATATATAATATGAACATGAAGGGAAAACGAATTTTTTCAAAGTGCACAGTCGTGGCGACAAATATTGAATTTCTGGGACATATGGGACATTCAGAGGAAGGAAGTGGACCACCAGAGGATAAAGTCTCCGGTATGCGAGAATTTGAGAAACCAAATTCAGTAAAACTAATGCAAAAATTCATGGACATGATCAATTATTATCATAGGTATATTCCCAGACTTGCAGAGATATCTAGCCCTATACATGATATGATAAATTGACCTTGAGTAACAAGGAGAAAATGATTGTGTGGGGTGATAGAGCTGAAAAAGCTTTCGTCGACATTGAGCCAGCTTTCGCATCTCGCAATATGGTAAGTCATTTTGATGTTAACGCCAAATTAACTTTGACGGTAGATGCATTATGTGCTGAAATAGGCGGTGTGTTGCAGGAGGTACGTGGTTGCGTGACAGAGCCCTTAGCATTCTTTCCAAGAAAGTTGACCGATACCGAAGCAAAATACAGTGCCTTTGATCGCGAGTTACTGGCGATTAATGACAATAGATAGCACTATCGCTGTGTGCTCAAAGGGAGATGTTTTACGGTTTATAGCCTAATCCAGATCCGACAATTAAAGTATATCTCGTTATTTAAGAACGACATCCAATACGTCCGGAGGACTTCCAACGTATTAGCTTACACGCTTTCAAGGTCATTTGAGGTAAATGCCTTGAATAACTCAGATTTGAATTTAGAGTTATTGTATACTGAGCAGCAAAAAGAAGAAAATATTGCAGACATTTTACGAAAGAAGGATGAGTACCAATATTTGGAAATTGTTGAAATTCCGTTGTTTAATATAAAAGTTTGGTGCGAACTATCACAGGGGAGTTGCATTCTGTTTCCCATTCAGGGTTTAGAACTACGGATTATCTGCAATATACATTATTGGCCAGGCATGAGTAAGGAAATAAATATTTGGGTGAGAAATTGTATTGTATTATCAGAAGTCAAAAATCACTAGGCACACAAATCACCGGTGACGAAAATAGATATTTCAATGGGTAGGTTTCCACACATACTGATATTGTAGGCCCATTGTCACCATCGCGAAGTCGTCGATATCTATTGACTGTCATTGATCAGTACACACATACGTTAGGTATATTACGAATAAAACCGTTGCTCGGACTTTATTATCTAAATACGTATCACGTTTCGGTGTTCCTCTCACAGAGGAACGCAGTTCACATCTAAAATCGGTTACTCGGCAGTCACACAATTACAACTTCTGCATAGCACCCTCAAGCAAATGGCATGGTTGAGCGGTTTCATAGGCAGCTTAAAGCTGTGATTATGGCAATCAGCAAACAAATTGGTTCGATGTGCTTCCAATGGTTTTGTTAGGAATTAGGTGCACTTTAAAGGAGGATTTAGGTCATAGTCCTGCGCGGATGGTGTATGGACAGGACGTTCGTTTACCTAGTGAGTTGGTAGTTCCAGGTACGGTAGATTACAACTCTGAATTTGTGGATAAATTGAAGGATATTTCAAAGATATCCGATCTTGTGTATCGCATCATAAGGACATAACTTAGGGAGTATATTTATCCAATGATCTTTATAGTTGCAAATATGCATTTATGTGTGTAGATAATGGGAGATCTTTGCAGAATCCATATGAAGGCCCATAAAAAGATATAAGAAAATTTCAAGCTAGAAATCGATGGAAATATTATAACTATTTCGATAGATGGAATTAATCCTGAATTTGATAAGATAGCAGAGATAGTTACTTTTAATTTTTAGGCGTTTATGTTTCAGGAGGGGGAGTTATGTAGGTACACTTTGTTATGCAAGTCAAAATAAATTATTTCATATCATAGAATGCATTGCTAAAACAATTATAATTTTTTATTTTGGGAAATCAAAATGTGTATTCATTTTTAGTTGATACCAATAGTGTTCGTTAGAAAATTATATTGATTTTTTTATAAATAAATCGTGTGCCCAAACTCTTGATTTTATTGTGCATACAATTGTTTTTGCAAAAGAATATTAATAAGAAGATTGCCCAAAAAATCTTAATGTTGCATTGATTGGATCAAATATTACTGACAAGATTCAGCTTATTCAAATAGCTGATAATATTTGAGAAGTTTTAAAGAGAGATGAATTACCTGAACTTGGAGTATCTGCATCGTCGGAAAAGTCAAAAGATCCAGACATGGGTAAAGTGGTAGAGGGTCTAGTTCAAGCTACTAGTAATATTTGCCAAGGATTTTACACACTTTCAAAGGAGGTTTGTGCAATGAATCGACAGTTTGAGGAGATGCAAAATCGAGATAGAAGAGAAAGATTTAGTGGAAGGAAGATCGGGATATAAAAAAAGGAATTGACTTTGTAGGTTCCAACACAGATTCGGCAAGGATGCTAGAAATTGTGAACAGCCTTGTTTGTATTATGATAACCAATGACTCAAAAAACTAGTTAGGCCCATTGTACAAGCGACGGCCAATGGGTGCGCAGAAATATCGACACGTCGTCTCTTTGTGTACGACAAATCGAATAAATTAAAATTTTTAGTGGATAGAGGGGCTGATATATCAATTTTGCCGGCATCAAAATTAAGAAATTACAAGGGAGTTTCAGACGTCATTTTGACAGCTGTAAATGGTTCAACGATTCAGACATATGGAAAAAAGTTGCTGAACGTAGATTTAGGATTGCGTCGTGATTTCCTATTCGCAGTTTCGGGCTCAGGAACTCATCTCAAACCTTTCAGGACTGGACTTGGTATTTGTGTATATTGATGATGTATTAGTTTTTAGTGAAAATGAAGAGGAGCATTTAAGACACATCGATGCGACAAATATTGATTTTCTGGGACATATGGGAGATTCAGAGGAAGGAATTAGACCACCAGAAGATAAAGTCTCCAGTATACGAGAAATTGAGAAACCAAATACAGTAAAACTAATGCTAATACAGTAAAACTAATATATATATATATATATATATATATATATATATATATATATATATATATATATACACATATATATATATATATATATATATATATATATATATATATATATATATATATATATATACATACATATATATATATATATAACCTGCCAATATCGTAACGTTATATATTGTTGCAATTTATTTTCTTCATGACTTTAATTGCATTGAATTAACATAACAAACATACATAACAAACATACCTGCGCTTGAGTAAATAAAACTCTTCTCTTCCTTCTTTGTGTTAATGGAAACTGTAAAGATTTTGCATCGTTTACAGCACACGTTGCTAATGATCCCATGTTTCCCATATGTCCCATTGAGCTGGTAGCTGTACCTCCCATTAACCTAGAAACTGATAAAAAAATATTTATTGATTAGATACATTACCATGTGTTTCTTAAAAATAAATCTTTAAAAATTATCTTTATATTCTAACGAGCCTTATCTCAAAACGACAAATACCATTGAAATCGGTTTAAAATGTGAAATCCATATATTCCTAAATTTAGTTAAAATCAACTGAATATACTCTTGTATGACCGCTCTAAAATAAGGTTGGCATAGGCTGAATGTACCACTTTCTGCCTGATAGGTTGGTATCCTTTCAGAACTTGAACAACCAAATTTCAATTTCAATTCCTAAGAAAATGTGACTGCAATCATCAAAATACCGGATATAGATGGGTAAATGTCGAATATAGGTCTAAATTGTTTTCTTTAATGGGTATATTAGGTCCAGACCAGATTGGCAAACTAGCAATGAGGTGCACATTTTAGTATAGCTCCCATATAACAGTACCTTAAGATATTCGGTATTTGGACGGTTTATGAAAAGATTACAAACGGAATTGTTTAATATTCGGTACTTAGGGTACATAATGGGTTCTATCTCCTGTCGTGGATCATTGCCTATTTAGGTTCCCTGTTTGCCATAGCTCCCCATGTTTCGGTATTTCCCGAAATTTGGTATTGTGATGATTTTTGCCAAGACTTTCTGGGGAATAGTTTAAAATCCCGTAATGGTTTTTAACAGTTAACTCGTCTCACGAGTTCTTGCTGTAATGAACGGCATTGTCGTATATTGCGAGTTAAGCATTAAAAATTCAAAGCAATTTTTAAGATTTCAAAAATTTGTGAAAAAAAGGTTTTATACTGTAAAAATTTAGATAGTATAATTGTTTTGCGGACTTTCATTGTGAAATATTCATTCAGTATGTTTTTATACCCGGCTGATATATCAATTTTGTTGACATCGAAATTAAGGAATGACAAGGGAGTTTCAGACGTCATTTTGACAGCTGTAAATGGTTCAACGATTCAGACATGTGGGAAAATAAAAGCTGAACGTAGATTTAGGATTGCGTCGTGATTTCCAATTCGCAGTTTCGTGCTCAGGAACTCATCTCAAACCTTTCAGCGTTTTATTAACGAGGCATTTAGAGGACTGGACTTCGTATTTGTGTATATTGACGATGTATTAGTTTTTAGTGAAAATGAAGACACATCGATGCGGTATACACTAGGCTACAATAATATGGATTGAACATTAAGCCAGGAATGTGCACATTCGGCGCGACAAATATTGATTTTCTGGGACATATGGGACATTCAGAGGAAGGAATTATACCACCAGAGGATAAAGTCTCCAGTATGCGAGAATTTGAGAAACCAAATGCTGTTGTCATTTGGAGCCGTAACCTTTATATACCTATACATTTTGTAACGACGACATTCTGGGCGACTATACATTATTTAAAGTGATCCATATCCAATTAATTTAGTGGTTGTTAGATAATATCGAAAATATTCCGGTATTTTTATACCCTCCACCTTGGAAAGGAGGGTATATTAACTTTGTCATTCCGTTCGTAACATGTCTAAATATTCGTCGTAGACCCCATAATGTCAGCATAAAATTCTAAGTCGATTTAAAGATGTCCGTTGGTCTGTCTGTCTGTTGAAATCACGACTCAGGCCACATTATTTGACGTAGACCGTGAAAATTTAGCAAACTAATTTTTATTGTGTCTAGGATGGTTGGTATTGAAAATTACATATATCGGTCCACGTTTTGGTGTAGCCCCCATATAACGGTATCTCCCGATATTCGGTATTTTTATGCTTTTTGTCACAGTTTTTCACGAATTTGTCTAAAAATTGGAATTAGTTGATCATAATAGGTTCTAGCTCCGTTGGCGAAACATTGTATAGGCCTATATAGCGGAACCTCCGATATACGGTATTTTGATGATTTTTGCCCTATTTTCCCACGAATATGTCTAAAAATTTGTATTTGTGGGTCATAATTGGTTCTAATGTTTCCATTACCCTAAGGTGGAGGGTATTAAAAGTTAGGCCCGGCCGAACCTTATGATTTTTTACTTGTCTTCAATTCTTCTTATTTTTATGGGGTGAAATGTTGTTACCAGCTTGACAGAATCAGCCAGTAGTTTTTAACATAAACCTAAGGCCTTGCTTTGATTCGATCTGTAATAACAACAATTGAAACGATAATAAATCCTTTAAGGTTAAAAAAAAAAAAACGTTAGTATGGGCAATTCTATACAAAAGTGAAAATTTTTAGCATTTTCAATGCGGCAAATCAGTAGTTCGAATTGTTTCCCTTGAGTCCGTAACGAAAGTTTAAAAGAAAATATATCAAGAAATAATACTTTACACCATTACTGGGTACAAAATGTCAAAATTATTTTGCGATTATATTTGCTTTTAAATACAGGATTACTTCGGCTTAGGCTAAGAGAAATTCAACACGTTCCTTTTTCATTGAAATTTTAAATTGAGTAATTGTAATATTTGTATACATACTTTGGTGGGTATGTTAGGTGCAGGTCAGATTGACAAACGATCAATGTCTGTGCACGTTTTAGTATAGCTCCCATATAACAGTACCTCAAGATATTCAGTATTTGGATGATTTATGAAAATATTTCAAACGGAATTGTTTAAAATTCGGTACTTAGGGTACATCATGGGTTCTACCTCCTGTCGTGGATCATTGCCTATATAGGTTCACCGTTTGCCATAGCTCCCCATGTTGCGGTATTTGCCGATATTCGGTATTGTGATGATTTTTGCAACATTTTTCTGGGGAATGGTTTAAAATCCCTTATGTATAACTTGTAATGGTTTTTAACAGTTAACTCATCTCATGAGCTCTTGCCGTAGTGAACGACATATATTGCGTGTTAATCATTAAAAATTTAAAATTTCTATAAAAATTGTGAAAATTTGTGGCATTTTCAATGCCGTCCGTAACGGTCCCCTTGAGTCCGTAACGAAAGTTTAATAGAAAATATATCAAGAAGAAACACTTTACACCAAGACTGAGTACAAAATGTCAAAATTACTTTTTGATTGTATTTTCTTTTAAATACAGCAAGTAAAACAATTTGTAAAAGTTCGATACTTTGGTTACGCCAAGGTATATGTTCGATAATTTGTCCCCCTTTTCCCTGCATTCCAATTAATTACAATAATTGGCTTCTCAGTCGAGATCTATGGGGAAATCTTCTGTGACTCTCTTTTATGAGTCACATTCTCTCTTCTGCACTCTGTCCTAAAAGTCATATGGGCTCAGTTCGGATGCAGAGAGGCACTTTCCAATGCTGCGGTCGTCGGAGCTGGTCACGACCTTGTTCCGCTATTGTGCTCATCTGCAACTACACTTGTTCTTTCACTTTCGTTATGCGTGTGATATAAGATAAAGTCTCGTTTCGTTGAAACTCACTACTTTACAAATAAACCATTGAAAATACACTAAATTACACATACATGTTTTTATTTTCTATTCTTTTTGGGTTTATTTGTCCCGGTATAACGCCAAATTTTGATCCATTCGACCAGGATAATTCATCGAAGTATTGATATTTGTTTGCTAATTGCTGTTTTTTCTTATTTTAAAAGTCCCATCGTGCCCTTTTATTTGGTTGCAATTTTAAATACCAACGATTTCTTAATATTCCCTACTCTCATTGTTAGATCGGTTTCGTTGGTTTATTTTTCGTTTAATTGCAAAAACAATACCCTAATATTCCAAGCGCCTTTTCTAGCGTCGGTTTAATAATATCTATCAACAATTTACTTCTCTCCCCACCTATCATTGTTTGGTCGTCGTCGTTGGTTGTTTTGCAGTGAGATAGTTAACTACTCACATACGTTCATCGCTCTGCCGAGGCTGCTTGTGTTTTATTTCGATTTATGCGGTATACGTTGTAGTCACTCGCACAGTGGGTTAAATTGTAAAAAAGTGAAATTTATTTTAATAAATATTACTTGAAAATTGTTATATATTATTATTATTATTATTGTTGAATATAACATCAAGTCGTTATTCAATTTCGATTGACCGTTATATTTTTCGGATAAAGCACCCTACAACCGGCATTAGCGATTTAATTTAAACACTTAAGTTCGGTCATTTATTAATTAACACCGCCAGACTTAACCATAGTGTCACCCGGTCTGATAAATGACGTGACTTGGCAACCCGTCATTTCTCTTGGCTCAGACCATCTCCCGACAATCGTCTCCAAAAGCAGGTCGCCCGATTTCATAACCTCTGAGCGCCGCACTTTCCTTAACCATGGGAAAGTTCACTGGCCAGAGTTCAGAGAATTCACCAACCGCCGCTTCAGAGAACTGCCCAACCCTTCTGATGCTTGGGTAGCAGAAAGGATTTTCCGAAACATCATCAAAGCTGCAGCCGCTCGCTATATACCTGCTTGTCGAATGCCCGAGATAAGACCAAACATCCCAGCAGAGGCAGCGGGATTAGCAAACGAGCGTGATGATCTCCGTCGTACCAACTCTAATGATCCTAGAATCAGTGATTTGACAGTGGAAGTCAAACGGTTGGTACAGGAGCATAAGAGGGAAAGTGGCTAGACCAAATGAAGTGCTGCACCATTGGTACCCATATGAGTAAGCTGTGAGTAACGGTTAAGTCGCTCTCGAACCCTGGAAAAAAGGATGATAGGACTTCAGTCACTTTTAACGACGTAACGGCGACTGATTCGAAAAGGTGCGCGGGGTATTTTAACCGACAATTTGTCGAGCACCCCGAGAGCGATAGGGCAAAGCGAAAAGAACTACGTCGTATCAGATCTCTTCCCGCCGAGGAGGAACCACCACAGTTTACGATCGGTGATGTTGCAAATGTCTTCCGTAACGCTAAGTCATCCAAAGCGTTTGGCTCGGCATTTAAAGGCATTTAATAGGTCAATCATGCACCCTGTTTGAGGACGTGAGAACTACCCTCCGGCCAAGTTTGAAACGTTGGATAATCAACTATATGTGTGGACGCCAGTCGTACGTGGAATTCCGGAACAAGAA